TAATTTCAATGTGATGTTTTATTGCCACACCTTTATGTCCTTCCGTTTATACGAGTATAAACGGAAATCTCCATGTTTTAAAATCAATGTTATAAAGCGAATGTCGTAACATTTTGTAATGTATTCCATTCGCGGGGTAAACGACAATTTTTACATTTACGCAGCGATCCTGTTGCATTAACATATACATAAGACCTCGTATGTATGCTGCGCATTTAGTGCTTAATGTGACTATCTAATTCTAAATCTATTATTCATGTAAAACTCGTGCGCGTTATTGCTCGAATGAGACGCTTAACATCCGGGATCTGTACTGTATAGAAAATTTGGTGAATCGTTATTGAATGTATTAAAATAAACCAACTTTAGTGAGAACGTATTACGAATAAAAGAGCAAATGAATAATGGAGTGATTCAAACTTATCGACTTAAATACTTAATTGACAGGTACTGCAGCGCGAATACACGCTTTGTTTTTATTAACTATCTCTAGCACCACAAATGTTTCTAAGTTGAATAGTGCACGGTATTTTAGGTTTCCTGTGATTTATCTAACATTAAAGCAAATTGAAAGTTAAATAAATAGCATGTTGATATTTGTATTTAATTTGCGAATGTGAAAAGTATGTACATTATACATAATAACAATTTCTCGAAATTATTAATCATAATCTGACTCAATTTCCATACAGCACACTTTTCTCTCTTTTTCTTTCTCTCTCGAACTTTTGTATGTAACGTAAAGTTTCAAGAGAAGTAATAGAGCGAGCGGATGGCAGTGACTGATACTCACGTTGAAACTAATGGCGCGTGCAGAATGCGGATTCAGCATGACGCGGTCGATAGTAGACGTATGAGGGAATGGGTGGTAAGAGTTGGAGGTAGGAAGGTGATGTTTTGTTAACCACAGGGAGACAGAAGGAGAGGGAACGAGAGAGAGAGAGAGAGAGAGAGAGAGAGAGAGAGAGAGAGAGAAAGAGTTTGAAGGGCTACCTGCTTGCCCGCTTGTCTGCATGAAGCGTTGATTTTGACAAAGGGTTTAAATGCCTGGCGAGACCGCCCAAGCATATCTAATTCTCCGCACCCCTGCAACTCCGGAGCAAGCCGACGATATCTCAAACTAGGGATGCACCGTTGCCCCTCGTGACAAAGAGCGCTGGCGTAGGAGTTGTTTTTCACGACCTAACCTCTTTTGAAGGGTCATGCGCTTTTAAAGCTCTCCGCTTTCCGCGCTGCCAAGCGAGATGCAAGGTCATGAAAACAATTTCCGATCGTGATGATTGGAGATTGTCTTGCAAAAAATTAATCGATGTGTGGATTGATGCAATGAAAAAAAATATAGTCAATTTTAATAAATATTTAGTTGGCAGTATTGAACTAAATATTTGTTAAAATTGACTGATATTTTTTTTCAGTGTGCGATTTGTTAATGATGACGAATATTTAAGATGTAAAATGTCATATTGAATCATAAAATAACATGTCAGAATATCTTGAAAGAAATTAAACGTAAAATTATTTGTTTAATTTTATTTTTATCATTTTGTCTTACAGCTCTCTTAGTTCGGTTTTACCAATATAAAATTAACTTTAATCTCTGTTCAGTTTATTCTTTATCTTTTTCTAATTCTTGGAGTTAGAAAAAGATAAATAGTAAGTTTAATTCAAATTAAATTACATTGGTAGAACCATTTAATGACGTTACTTATAAATCTTTTGGTTTTCTATCAGTGAACTTGTAGTAGCGTACTCGTTTTATTTTATCATACTTATTTCAGAGGACAAAAGCAATTTGTCATGCTCTGTACACACGACGATAAGAATTTACATGCAAATAAACCGCACGTATAAGTCTTACATAATGCAACGCGCTATGGGATAACAAGCCTCCAATAACTAATATTATACTTCACATTTACTACGAATACTGGAGTGTTTTCTTGTTACATATAAATATCTAATCTGTCACAAGAACACGCAAACAGTATCATTCATCTCATATAATACAGTCTCGCAATGTTTTTACGAAGCGATAATTACATGTTAATAACCTGGTTATCGCATCCTCTGAGAATTATAAGATAACATGATATTTCTTGCCGCTCTCTACCGTTATCATACTTAAACATGAAATGCGGATCCATTACGTAAATATTTGTATTACGAAAAAAAGAATAAAAAGTGGACTTTTGACCGAGAGATGAAAGGACCGTATAAATAAAAATTCAGCCCTGGGCTGAATAAAATCCCCCGACCCATATTTTTTCAAGTACTTTTCACTTCAATAAGAATCTCGTATCAGCCACGGAATCTTTGACCTTTTTCAATATTAATATTAGGATATTCACAAACTTTTTGGAAGCATCCTTTTACTTTTCATTGAAATTTTTTGTTATCAAGGTTATCCCACTTTCCATCATTCACCATAGTGAATCATTAAAAACATTTCCTTAGAAAAGGAAATTTTTTCAAGAAAATAATATTTTTAATAAATAGCTTGCTAACTAAGGACGCTTTTACAAAGACATCGATTATCTAATCATGGAGAAAACGTATTCAGAAAATTGTTCTTAATTTTTTGCGCAACGCATTCTTTTCCATGTCATTCATATGAATTATTACTATTATCTTTTGTAGTTTATTATGAGACTCGTACTTTGGTCTCAGTGGTAGCTACGTAATACTTACCAACAATGAAAAGCCATTTTCTTGTCATGTATCGATAGAGACATCCGATAATCACGTCTCGGTCCGAAAGTGACGGCTGTATGAATGACGTCACGCGTTATGAGTAACGACAGTGCGAAACAAAGTACAGGATCGCCGTTCAATTACGCGCGACGTAATGCATGCGTGCAACGGTAGAACGACAAACCGCAGATCGCTAGGAGACGGGATGCACGGATGTCGGCTCGTCCCAACGATGCGCCTCGTATCCGTATATATATCTCCGTATACACACGTACAAGTAGGTATGTGTGTGGCGTGCACGAACTACACATATCGGATAAACACACCCCACGCCGGAGGCATCGCTATTGCCCGTTGTGGAGAGGTCCTCCCCCTCCGGGTAATAACAGTAAATCCCGAGTAATAAATCCCTCCGCCGCGCCGTGTCTTCCTTCCCTACCTCCCTTTATCCTTCTATCTGCTCGTGCAGTGGGTGTACATGCCTGTGCGTATGGATGCTTGTGCGTGGCCTCCTCCCCTTCACCTGTTCATCCCTCTCTATTCGTTTTCCCAACCAGTTTCTCCTTCACGCGAGCGTGCACGTACGCACACGCGCGAAGAGAAGGGCATGCAATTTCTATCCGCTCGCTTCTCTTCGGGATGGGATATACGTGTATGACGTGCATTGTTGTAAATTGCTCCCATGCTACGGCCATGTACCTACCGGGTTAATCGAAGACCCCCTTGAACTCCCTTGAACTCGCACTAACGCGACGGAAACCGGAAACCCAGTTGAACGTGCAACGTACCTATTACTGCACAATTCCTCGGTTGAAATGATTCGTCGTTGTTGATCTACGTACAAAGTACGCTCTCGATCGAGGTCAGTAGACAAGATTCATAACTGCGATTGATAACGTACTGCCATATTGTCGAGTATTCAGGAACGACATACGATTGCACGAGCAGCGATTTAGTCTAATAGATTAAGAAGATTTAATGTTGAACCAATAACAATACCTTTAGTTAATACCCAGTTATTATAGCCATTATTACCGATGCTATCAGCGTTTGGATGGCGGCCAATTGAGCAGAGGATAATGGTATTACATTTGTTATCGTGATTTATACTTTAGTATCGGAATTCCAAGTAATACTTGACTTTGAAAATAATCCTTGAAGTATCATTAATTATTATGATAAGAATTTTTTTGTATCATATGTCAACTTTGAAGAAGATTTAAGTTGTTTGTAGCATCGTCTCTTTTTTTCAATTTCACACGTCAATTCATTTTTCCATTTGAATAATACGTAATAATACGTCAAAGACTGACTTACATCATTCAATGTCAAAAGTTTCTTTGTAACTTGCAATTCCGTGAAATTTGAAAAATAAATATTCTCCTGGAAGAGAGAGAGAATTAATATATTGAATTGTGCGAATATATCAAGTGAGGGTGGAAGAAGGGAGTTGCCAGGGAGGTTGCTTTATATAGCGTTCTAGGGTTACCGAGTTATGCGAATCACTGACTGTGCACATCAAAGGGATTACCTCGGTAAATCAGCTCCATAATCTCTCCGGACGGTGAACAGTCGATGTACCGGACAGCTGTAGGGATCGATCGGTTGCCCGCCACAATTATGCAGTCCGATCAAGGGTATCGAGATAACCTTCGTATACAAGCATATCGAGCGCGCGATAATCTACCGTCGTACCGTCGATAATTTTAATAATTAACGGCTGTGCGACTCGGTTGCTTGTGATGTTCTCTACATGCAATCAGTTTCCGTCGCGTGATATCATTAGACGTGTACTTACCGGCATGTCATCCAAAGATTCTGGAATGCGGATAAACAAAAAGAGAACTATGAGTGAAAAAGTTCTGAATTGATGTCGGTTTTTATAGGAGTTTGTTGCATTGTGGGGAAAACTTTAACGTTATCATCTTTTCAAAAACTTCAGGTTAAAAGACATTTCTCGTCAGTTATGTATGACTATGTGAAATCACATACAGTGCTATAAAGTACTAATTTACAATAAAATACATGGTTATATATTCCGCGTATAGTATCTACTGTATAATATCGTAATATCATGAAATTGGAGCATATACTAAAGTTGTTAACTCTAAGACCTAGTTAACGATTTGCTATCTTTTCCCGCACATTATAGTCCTATGACATAGATACAGAAAATAGGTACAGTTCATTTAAACGTATTGTAACATTAAAATTAACTGCACTCGATTCCAAGTTAGCTACAGTATCAATTTCACTTTCCAGCATGTATTTCTGTATCATACATTTACCGTTGCTCTTTCTTGTTTCAGAGAAGAACAATGCCCGTAACAATCGACGCCGACGCGTGAGCGAAGGTGCCAGTCGCGAGAAAAACGAAAAAGATTCGGCGGAATCCACACGGCAACAAGAGGATCGCGAAAATAAAGGTCCGCCGTCTAGCAAGGTAAGCAATCGTGTTGCACGGCCGGTGTTAGAAGAAGCAAACAGTGCATCGGGAAGTGCTTCGAAACTACGAAGACGTGGCGCCGCGGTAAAGAGTCCGACCACCGACCAGGGGCCGGCACAGCATCAGAGACCGGCACGAAGAAGACCGAGGCCAGGAAGTGGCCAAGAAGTCAAGACAGACGCAGAGGGAGAGTCTGTCGAGCATCATCATCGTATCGGAGCGAGAGCCGACAAGGACGAACGCCTCGGAAGGAGGAAGAACGTCTCGAGGGAGAGGATGAAGAGAGTCAGGAACGCTGCGATCCACTGACTAAGCGGCTAAGAACAAGCCCCGTCGGCAGAAAGCTCAGATCCGAGAGTAGTAAGAGCAAAAACACCGAGGAAGCTGTAGCGGATCGGGCCAGAGGATCGGTGGTGGAAGCAGAGGGAGAGGACGAGGAGGAAGACGACGACGAGGACGACGTTGAAGAGGAAGCGGGGGCGGAAAAACACGACGGGGCCGAACGAGAGGTCGGTAAACTTGAAGAGGACGAGGAGAGTCAATCCAGGGAGCGGGATAGAGAACCCGAGCCACCACCTCCGGACAAAGTCGATCCCGGAGGCGATCCGGCTTCCAAGGAGGAGCAACAACCAGATAACAAATCAGAATCAAGAAAAGACGCTCGCGCGACCGATTGGGGCGCAGATAAGGTCGGCGAAAGTAAGGAACAACTACAGCAACAGCAACAGCCACCACAGTTACTCGTGAATGGATTGCATGTCGATTCGCCGCTGGTCAGCGATAAGACGAATGCCATCCACGAGGGCAGTCCGTCGGTGCTGAAGTCGACTCGATCAAAGACAAAAGGTTTTGCGGAAGAAGCCAGAGAGGACGTAGCGGCGGCGGCGGCGGCGGCGGCAGAGGACGAGCGCGACGAAAACGTCAGTGAAGAAGAGGTGAGCTCGCAGCGATCACGACGCACAGAACTGACTACCACCGAGTTAGGCACGGAGGATAGCGTGGGTAGCGTCGGCGGCGTTAGGGCGGCCAGCGTCGAATCGGTCGTCGAACTGCTGGAGTCGAGCAGTCAGGACTCAGGCTCCGTGCTGGAGAGGCTGAGTCCGTTTAGTAGCAGCGGCGGCGGCGGCCCCGGCAGGCAGAGCAGCCTGCTCCTGGAACAGCAGCGGGAGCAGGAGCGCAATCGGCATAACGAGAGCCCGATCATCCTTGCCGAGAGACTGAACAAGCCGCCACCGCCGATCGCCGGTCACCATCATCATCCTCATATACAATCTTACCATCAGCCGCATCATCAACAACAGTTCCATCATCACCATCAACAGCATCACCAGCAGCGTTATTCCGCCAATAGTCCGGTGATCCATCACCATCACCAGCAGCAACAGCAACAGCAGCAGCAACAGCAGCAACAGCCGCCGTCGCAGCATCATCATTATCAGCTAGCGAGCAGCCCGCATCAACATCACCACCATTCCACCGCTCGCCTGACCCCGTCGAGCCTCCTCGAGGTGCAACAGCAGTCTCACACATCGAGGGGTGGCGATGAGGCCGGCCTCATGGAAGTGGAGGCCGGGGCCGGTATACCTGGAACGGGCGTACTCGTCGGTGTGCCTACGGCGGTCGGTGGTATACGGTCGTCGGGAGGTAGCAGCGGCGCCGCCGGTGTCGCTACTTACGGCGACAGCGGCTCCGACAGCGGGGTAAGCTCGCTGAAGAGCGCCAGTTCTGGCGACGAGAGGAGCGGCAGCAGGAGCTCAGCGCTTAGCGTCGAGGAGACAACATCGTCCTCGACACCGCTAGCCCCCGCCGCTGCCGCTGCCCCGGCCAGGATCTGGCACGTGCAGAGCGTGCAACACACGTCCCTATTGATGGCGCATCCGTCCCAGGGCGCGCCCAACGCCGGCGCTAGTGCCGCAGCCACGGCGCCGCCGGTCGGCTACCACAGCCCAGCTCCTCCAAGTCACCATGCTGCCGAGATACTCTGGAGGCAGTCGAGGGCCTACCCGCCGCTTTCGCACACACTCTTAGGCCCACAACCATCCAGTCCGGAGGAGCTGCTTGAAAGAGAGCGCCACGATAGAATGCTGCGGTGAGTCGTGTTTTTTGTTTCTTTTTATTGTCTTTCAATTTACAATGAAACATTTCTGCGAATCTACGTTTCTACGTTGGAAGTTTTTGAAAAATTTTCAGATTGTGAAAATCGTTATCAATGCTTTTTGTAAAATATGAGTTAAAAGAATTAATTACAAAGAATTGGCAGAGATCTTTTTCTATAAAATTGTGTTCCTTTAAATTATAAGGAATAATAAAAAAATAAGAAGTAATAAAACCGATTTCTTATAAGTAAAATGTAATATTTAATTACATCACTAAGGAAAACTGAGCTTCAGTAGTTGGAAGAGAATGTATAAAAAGGAATCAATAAGTTTTAATATCAAAAATAGTTTTGATTAGATGATAGATATATTCAACTTTACAGAAACAAATTTCTCTCAATTGATTTTAATCTGTCTACTTCAAAATAAAAATATAAAGGTATATTTATAAAAATGCTTGAGAACAGGCATCGATACATATTCGCAAATTTCTATAGATTGAAAGTAGATTCGCGTCTCGATAAACGGCGCTTTAATAGGTTTGACGTTGCATTACGTCTTCTATAATCACCTCAGTCAATTGATGGTTGCAACGCGATATGTAACGAAGATAAAAAGTTTATTTACCACGGCTACTTTTCCGCTCGACTACGTGTGCCATTAATAGCGCTGCCACATGCACGAGCGATTTTGAGTACGCGCATAATAATGCATTGAACAGCAGCATGACGATGTCATGACTACGTTATGCCAATAATCTAAATCCTAGAGTCGCTTTCCCTGTCGACATGAATTATCCACCGTAATCCGTGACGTTTATCGTATCTTTCTTTTGCTCGATCAGTTGCCTCGTCAATAACCTCGACACAGAAATGATCTGAAACGTGCCAATAACATTTCGATCCAATATCATGATTAACACGAATTGCCACGCTTCGAGAAGCGTTTTACCTTTTGTTCCGAGTTCCTCGAATATTCGCGAGAAGCAAGCGTTTTTGCCCGTACGTAATTTACTTGTTCGCGTGTCCCCGCGACAAAACGTTCAGCCGACCAGTAGATCCTCGAAGGAAACGAGACTATCGTCCGGCATCGGGGAAGTGAATGCCCGACCGTTGTGGCAGCTGCATTCGACGCTTTCTCGCTGGTTCTAGCCGTCGGACTTTCTTTGTCTGACTGCTCTCGCGTGACTACGTCAAGCGTATACTCGCCATTCTCGTTTCTCGTCGTATGCGGGGAGGGCAGACAGGCGGATGCGCCTGAAAAAAAAAAAGGAAAAAGAAAAGAGGTGGACGGGACAAGCTCGAGCGTGCGTATCCACAGCCAAGCGTTGCGCGCGCGCATGACGTGTATCTACGTGCGTTTCCGGGCGCCAGCTGCGAGCCGTTCCTCCGACTTCCGCCGGATTATCGCGATAGAGACGAGGCACGGCCTGAGTAATCGAGTCATCATTCGCGCGGCAATGCCGACAACGAGGCGGTGACCCGAAACCGTCGCTCTTCGGCTCGTATAAATATAAACCGGTAGAACATTTACTAACACCGACGCCACTGATCGGCACGTGTCGATGACCCTGCCAGCCGTGCGCGCTGTGCCTCGCTTGACCTCACCGAAGGCCGCCCGCCAAAACTTTCGGTATCGTTGATTTCTTTCTATTATATGCGTCCCCTGATTTTTTTCTGTATAACAGACGGGCTGCTTATTTTTAGGTGTAGACAGATGAAAGTGATAACACCAAAAGGATATTAACATAATTTTTTCAACGTTAAATGTGCGCGTAGCATTGAATCGCAAATTTGTATACAAGTTCTTGGAAAGTTTGTTCTCTTCCAGAATATTACGAGTACTCTTTGTACGATTATCATAATTGGCAAATCCTTCTCGCGAAGTTCCGTTTTTCAATTATTCATAGTCAAAGTTCGTCGGGTAGAAAGTTATTCTTGAAAGTATAAAACTTGCATGCACTTTCTTTATCAATAACAATGGAAACATAGTTCAAGATAAACGTGGACTCGGCCATGACTCCACGTCTGTCAATGGTCGCTATGTATCGCTTTAGCGTCGATCGAAAGAAGCGGTGTGTAAGTTCTGTAAATACGGCTAACTAAAAGTTGGAATGTTTGAAACTAACCCCGGTGAACTTTAGATTACGAATAATTTAAGTACAAAACTGTTATTGCGACAATGTAAGTCAAATGAAAGCTATTGATATCTTGGCATTTAAGAAAAGATCAGCTCGAAATATCTGGCCTTAGAACTACAGTCGTTGATTTTGACGTAGTCGATATAAAACTCGGAAGTACTGTTTTCACTTTTATAAAGAGTGAAATCAATTTCATTCATTTCAACCTAATTTCTCATTGTATCTCGTTATATTACGCATTCTTTCTTTGAATTTTTCACACTTAACGCTAATCGATATAAATAAAAATCGTCTCTCTCTTTCTTTCACGTGCTTTTTACGTGTCATTGAAGCTAATCCTCGCAACAAATCCAGCGACCTGACCCACGGGATGAGTTCAGCGAGCATCTAGGTAGGGATAATTAATAGTCCGTGAACCAAGAACATGACTGAGATATTAAAGCTCTTCTCGTAAGAGCCCAGGCGGAAAAGGGCGATGGAGGGTTTAGGTTGGCAAGCTACTAGACGACGATGATGACCTCCTACATCGTCTGCTACTGCTGCTACTCATGTTCGGGAGGGAGGGGTCAGACAGCAGAGGACGTGCGTCGACTTGACAATATATTACATCAAGTCCGTGCCAAGTCCCTCTAAATATCGTTTCCGAGTATTTTTATTATGTAGAACGTCGGCTACATTATGACGCTTTTTCGGATCACAGTATTTTATTTCGGACGATGAAAAGAAAAAGAGAAATTTACAGTCTATGCATCTCAACGTTTTGCGCTGTTTTATAACTGCAATCTGATTATTTGCTCACAGACAGACAAATCTTGTGTTTTCTTATTGTTTTCCAATTTATTTACCATTTCGTGTAAAATATTCAATCAAGTTTCTTAAAAAAAATGAATTTTTGTTCGTCGAAATCCAAATTAATGGAGAGAGAAAATAACAAGGATCGAGTGACAAAATTAAGGTTAAACTACTAGTGAAAACGAAAATTATAATTAATTACTTACAGCCATCAACAAATAGATTAATGAATTATTAAAATTGATGATATAAGTAAAATGAATTTTACGAAATATTTTTAAAATTCTATTCATATTAACTGTAGATAATACACATTAAGATCTCTGAGACTACAGCGCAACATTCTCAGTTTAGCATTTTAACGTTTCTGGACTTTTTTTCAACCCATTATGTATATCGAAGCTCTTTAATTCTTCGATTTAACCATCGATTTTTATAAATTATGAGTTTGTTCCTTTATTAATTCATCGATTGAAAAAAAATTAATTAAAATCTCTATTTTTGCTGGAGTTACGATAATAAATATGGATTTCCAGAATCCCAGTATACAGGGTGTTTCCAAATTAAATGGCAAAACTTCGGGGGTATACTTTACATAAGCAAAAAGGAGTGTGTATACCTGGGATTAAGTAACACTTCTGTTGTAATTGCTAATTTTTTCGATTATACAACAAATTATGATGCTCTCGATATAACACAGCTTGTTGATATTCCGTGAAAATTAGTCTGGCTAAAATTGAAAGCAACAGTTTGTCGGCAGACGAGTTAATCGTCTTCGCATCCTCGAGATGTTTTCAAGGTCGAAGTTGTCTGATAGTATCCGAGAGCGGGCGCTCTCAATTTTCCCTTTCTCTCTCGTCGGGGTACAAGCAAACCCACGGGGGGAATGCCGCAAAAAGAACGAAGACGCGCGGTGAGAGAGCTACCCTAATGACCATCGTGTAGCGACGAAGGTTAACTACGCGGTTCATCCTCCTGCGATCGATATCCCACGTTCTTGTACGTCTCATCTTCTCTCATTCTGAGATCCCATCGGAGCCGGTAGCACTCGATCACGAGGTATTAAAGCTTGATTGATCGATGCATCTTTTTTCTTGCTCAATCCTGGCCTGAGTCACGCGAGACCTGAAATGCGTTTCCCGAATACAAAGCTATGGTTAAGATTAATCGTGCACGAGCGAAATTATTCTCGTTCTAAGAAAGGCATCGTTCTTTGCGCCGCTATGAATTAGTTTCAACAAAAAACAGTATAAGAATTTATCAAAAAGGATTAAGGTTATTAAAAATATATCACAGAACCGATGTAATTTTAATTTTATGTTGTATATAGAACTTGTTTCAAAAATTACGCTGAAATGTCATAAAAACAGAAATCGTGTCATGTATATAAATCGCATCATTATGATAACGAACACGAATGAGGAAGAAAAAAAAGAAAAATTCATAATATTCTTAACGGCTCGCTGCAAAATATTTTACCAGGTGAAGTAGTAAATGTATAACTGATTATACATCGTTAGATAGTAACGTTGCAAGCTAACATCGTTCATTAACGAAGCAAGCATTAGAACGTGTTATATCAAAGCTTCACTTCGCGAAAGCCGAGGCGAAAGCCATCGACAAATTAAGAGCAAATTTACCTGAGATATCGATGAGAGATGTTGTTGCGGAATTAACCGGGAGAAGTAATCGCTCGTTACGTGTAACGAACAGGTGAAATTGGAAACTTGATAAAGCGGCGATGCGGATCGTCGGCAATCGGTTATCCGCACGAGAGGAGGACCATCCCAGAACGCAACGTTGCATTTGCCGATATCACGCGAGCCTTTTTACGCGTCGACTCGAAACTTCCTGGAATTTCCTGCGGCAGAACATGTCGCAGAGACACGCGTATGCGCGTTCCAATGCTTTTTCGCGCACGTGGCGTGATCACGAAACAATGGTTCCGGTGGTTTGCCCCTTAGGCGTAAATAAGATCGGCTCTTTCGTGTCGAAGTTACATCGAAGATGTAACTAACGACTATTATTCAAGTAAATCATGTAATTAGCGTACCGGTTCAAATAATGGGAGTATTTTACACGAAAGAAAATTACGCGGTAATTTAAATGATTTAGATAAGAAAGAAATATTATCCTCATTTAAATAGTATTAACTAGTCTTTTTTGCTTTACCTGTAAAATATCTTGAACTGCGTATACTCAAATATTCGATCCCTGTTCGACGCAAGGGATATTACGTTTTTTTTTTACCAATACAAGCAAAAACAGATGGTCGGATAGTTCATTTGCAATTTTGCCCTTTTTCTCCGAGAAAGCGATCCTAACGTGTAAACGTACATTATCCTGTTCTAAATATGTTCTATTATGGGCTCTCTCTCTCTCTCTCTCTCTCTCTCTCTCTCTCTCTCTCTCTCTCTTTTCTCTTCTCTCGTGTAATGACCGCGATTTAACGCTTATGCAAGCCCGACCTCTCCGAGAGAGGTAATCAGCTGGCCGCCGAGTGCGGCAACAGAAACTGGCATTTGGGCACAAGGTCACGCTCAGCTTCTTTTTTATCTCTCCCCACCTGGCTCTCCACCTCTCGCCCCCTTGATCCTACCTCTCCTTCTGCTCTTTAACCTTCTCCGTCCGTAGCCTCGTCCGAGACCGTTTGTTAACCGGTATGAGCGAGGAGGAGAAAAGGACGAGACGAACAGGAATGCATGTAGCAGGAAGCTGTAAAAATATATGTCGGGTGTTCGGCAACTCGTTCGATGATCGCGTGTCCGAGCATGGTCTAACAGGATAATAAGGGGCTGGATGCCTTGATTGCAACGTCATATATAATAAACCAAATTGATTATAGATTAGCAGAATAAATATCCTACCAGGAAAGAATTATTTGATATGTATGTGTGTGGATGATTTATTTAAATTCCATATTAAATTAGTATTATTTTCAATTATATATTATATCAAAGATTATATCATAGATAATGATCTAGAAACAGAATGTGTATCATAGATTCAATTATCAGCAACTCAATAATCGTTCATTATCGCGTTCATGTTTTTGCGCATGATATAGCTATTGTTCATTCTGTTTTTTTTTTCTTTAATGTCGACTGTCATTTGTGCCAAGTGATATTTATTCTGGAATGTAAGCCCGACATTGTAATTGGTGCCAAAGTCTTTATCGCAAACGATCGTGTCGTCAGGCTATTATTACCACTATTTAAATAGCTGGTTGCGAACAGTTTCGCGTCTATGGTTTGGAATGTGTCTCATAAAAAGTGTCTTCTATCGTCCGTCACTGATTTATCTCGAGGACAACGCTCGTTGTTTTTGCGGTCGCACTCTGGTAGCCACGTTTGAAGGTGTGCGTGAAACACGTTTACAAGGAAATAAATCTCGTCGGTGCCTCTCTAACTCCTCCGGATTGCGTCACGCGAGTCTGAATCACACGCTGAAGTATCTCACGGTTCACCCAGTTTCATCGCCGAATCGAAAGTCTCGTATGTTTCGTTCGCGACGTATCACGCGCTCTTCATCCAAGGCCATCGCTGCTTTGCACGACAAAACGTCTCTCTATGGACTTTGCCAGTTAATTCTATCGTACACTGCTCGATGTTATCTTATCGCTACGTACAGTATAGTAATTAAACATGACAATATGTGGGAGGAACTTGAATGAAGTAACAGAGAGCTGGAAATTATTGCTTATTATACATCTCTT